AGCCTAGATCTCCATCACCTCCATCCAGATCTCCCTCACCTCCATCTAGGTCCCCAACACCCCCAGCCGACCCGTCTCATTTTGGTGTCGTATGTCTTGGCCCAGTTCAACAGGGCAAACTTGAGTCATTCCTTAAACGAGGTCATGCCATCCAAAAATTCGCGCATGTTCCAACCTTGAAAGAGTTGCATGTTTACAATCAAGTCAAAACCCTGTTTCGCAACATAGGGTGGCACGGCTTGTTGAGGGTCCATGAATTGAGCTATAAAGTCCCAACAGCTGAGTTTCTATCCTCAGTTTATTTAGATCATGGGATCCTCTACTTCCGTCTAATGAATCAAGACTATGAGATCTCCTTGGATCAAATCAATGCCATTGTGGGGGCCCCAACGGAAAACACATTTGGCCCCACTGATCCAATCCAAGGATACTATGACATGACTTGGTGGACCCAGCTCACCCAATTACATCCATATGTCTCTAGCGCTGCTAAAGCCTCATCACTTATCCATCCTGTGATTAAGGTAGCTCACAGAATCATTGCTTCGCTCGTCGCCCCTAGAGAGGAGCGAAGCACCATTAGCGCGCTGGAACTTAAAATCCTTTATGCAATGACCCATCCCGAGAATAACCTCATTCCTCATTATGGTCGGTTTCTGTGCCACAAGCTCATCCGCCTTAGCGCATCCCGATCGGGAAAGATTGTTTGCGGGGGTATTGTCAGCATGCTCGCCAAGAGCGCCCACATCCGAGCCCCATACCCCGGTCCCCACCAGCCACTGCCGGGTGAGCCTTATCTCACCACCACTGTCCTTGAGTCCATGCGACTCTTCCGCTCGGCAGGCGATGGTACACACCATTGGACCGTGGGTCAAAATCATGATCCCAAGCTCCTCATCACACCAGAAAATAAAGGCATTCTTGATTTCCGAAATCCCATTCATATGACTGATTGGCAAATCATTCCATACATCTTCCCCCACTCTTATTCCACCGAGGTCGATGAGCAAAGCGAAGAAAACGAGGAAGATGGTGATGATGATGAAGAAGAGGAGGAGCCTCACCATGCTTCTCCCACCGGTGGTGGCAGCTCATCCCATTTTGCTGCACCCCCGCCTTATCATCAACAATATATGGACGAATTCCAATCAATCCATACCCGCCTCGACACCTATCAGCAGGATATTACCAGCCTGACCCAGAATTTTTCCACCTTCACCACCCAGTACGCTCGGGATCAAGAGCGTCAACGCAAACATGAGGAGGACTTCTGGGCTTGGACCCGAAACCCCAGCTACTATCCTCCTCCTCCACCTCCGTTTTAGGTTGTTCCACCCTCTCCAAGCATCGGGACGATGCTTATCTTTAAGCTTGGGGAGGGGTAGACTTGTATTTTAGGTTCATTCATTCTCATGCATGCATTTTCTTATTTTCAAAGTTTTCCTTAAAACTCTTATTTTTCCTTATTTTCAATTTTTTTTTCTTTAAAAAGGTTCACTCATTCTCATGCATGCATTTTCTTATTTTCAAATTTTCTTATTTTCAAATTTCATTCAAATTTCAAAAAAAAAAAGTGTACGAGATGATGACACTCTTTACATACAATTGCTCCATGAAATGAAAAATACCGAAGCAACCGGATTGTTACCGGAAGCATAGAATCAGCTGTCATAACTAGGGGACCCAAATACCGTAATTCGAGACCCTACCCTCAGATAATAATTTTTTTTTATATTGAAACGTTTTTTGGGCGGTAATAACAGCTTTAGGATGATTTGCTTTTGAATGTTTAAAAAGAATCTTTATCGGCAACTCTGAACCCACAGAACACGGACCTATTTGTTGACACGCGTTACCCCCGCGGTAACAGAGAGCTTATGTATCAGACCCACACAGTCAAGAATGAAGGAAGGGTACAACTGTCATATCCAGTACCCTAATCAGAATTTCAAATGCCAAAACGAAGAAATCCAAAGAAATTCCAAAGATGAAGATTGAAGAATCCAAATTCAAAACGAAGTACAAATCAAAGCTCAATCAAATCAAAAGCCAACTCAAGTCAAATATGGCGAATGAAGAACTGTGTGATATGATACTTGTGGCTCTCGAAAAAGTGAAAGCATAGGAGCTGAGCCCCTTCGGGTGGGCTCACTGTTTCAGCGAAAGCTGATTCGCCGTGACGGGTTCTTAAGGAGGCGTCGATTCTGATTCTTGGCCATCTAGTCTTAAGGACATGAAATCCGGACTATGTTATTTTCGCCCATAAAGCTTAGTAAGGTATAAAGATTAAATAAAACTTTGGTTGGATTATTGGGTTACACCGTTTCGGGTCTTCCTCACATTGAGAGTCTGTGATATGTGGAAGGAAACAGGATGGTTGCCAAGGTATCAATGATCGAAGCCCTATTGATGTAAAGTCTGATCGTACCTTTATTTAGTTACAAAAGTACATATTTTGTGTTTGTTCTTAATCTTCTTTTCTTTTGCTTCATTTTGTTTCTTAGGTGCATTTTGAACATATTTTCATGGCATTGCATTGCATGCATTCATTCTTAACCTTTAGGATCCTTCATCCCCTTTTCATTCTAAGTTTTTCTTTCTGCCATCTAGAAATCGTCCTGTTGTCCGGTTCTTGTTCTTTTTTGAGGACAAGAAAGGTCTAAGCTTAGGGAGATTTGTTAGGTGCTACTTGTGCACCTTTTTGCACACCTTTCAGTCCCATTTTATGCATATAATTAGCACAATTGTTCTTCCTTTTCCTTGCATTTTACCATATTCATTTTACTCTCTAGAACAACCTTATTTGCACACTTTTATATCTTTTTCAGGTAAACCGGAGGTTGGAACACGCTTTGGGAAGTGTCGGGAAGCATTGGTGGAGATTTCGGGACGATCGGGCGAAGAACGAAAAAATTGGAAAAATCAAGTTTGGATTTGGAGTCAGAGAGGTACACGGGGCGTGTTGAATTTACACTGAAAAGTGGGCACGGGGAGTGTTTGACCAAAATGGGAGCTGTTGACCATACTGAACACGACCCGTGTCAGTTTAGTGCAAATAAACACGGGGCGTGTTGCTGAACACGACCCGTGTCAGTTTAGCCTATTTTAACACGGGCCGTGTTCGACCCAAAAAACCAACTTTTGGCAGTTTTTCCTATCTTTCATATTACGGGTTGAGGGTTATTTGGACATAAGAAGAACATACCAGAGCACCATTGGAGGGGGGAATTCGAAGCTTTTTGCAAGGGTTTGTCCGTTAACCATTTGGAAACATTAATTCTTGTTTTTGTAAGTTGTAATTACACTTAATTTCATCTTTTAGACTTGTGATCTTGTTCTAGCCATGTGTGGCTAGAACCCTAATTTCTCCAATTTCATGTTTTGACTTCTTGGTAGTGACTTCATTCATATGACATGATATTTGTTCTTAATTTCTATTTAATGAATTTGATTTTGCTTTCAATCGAATGTTTGATCTAATTATGATTCTTATTGGCCATTTGAATTAGGGTTAGGTCATTCAAGTTATCTCTTTTACAAAACCCGTAATTGTTTTGTGAAATTGAACAAGTAACAAGCATTAAATTAATCTCTATTGAATGAATTTTGTGTAAATCTTATTCATACACTTTTACACTCCCGAGCTTATGAGGGGTATTGGGTGTTGTTGGGAACATTCACATAAAGCTTCATGCAATCTTATAATCTAATCATAAGAGCTTGTTTAGATTAGGTTAATAAGGTTAGGGTTAATCAAAGAGCTTGTTTTGGTTAATTAATATGGTGAATGGGAAGTGTTAGAGCTTATTAGCACTTTCAAGTACCAACTTATATAGAATTGAACGAATATTGTGTCATCTTGGAGTCACATTGCTAAATTGTCATACATGGGGTTGGAGTCCTCACAAATTCTGAATTTAATTCACGCACTTAATTGATTGTTTATGTTTTTAATTATTTGTTTAATCATTACATTCTAAACCCCCCCTCTTTTTACTGTTGGTGACCATAGTACCTTGTGCAAATAGGTATAGACCAATTGTCCTGTGTCTCTGTGGATCGACCCTGCTTGCCTTGTACTACCTTTTAGTGCAATATAGTGGGATTATTTTGGAGTATATCGTACCCCTTTATTTGTTGGGTTTGACACGCCTAACAATGTACCTATTTTTTTTTCCAATAATTAAAAAATGCTCAATATGTTATGAGAAGAGACCCTAAGACGTTGAAGATGTAAGACAAATATGACGTGACACTTGCGTGACAGAAAAGATAAAACGGCGAAAGTAACGTTAATCTTCTAGCTTTAACTCAATGCTCAAATCCATTTGAGCGATTTGTTTAATTTACCTAACTTTTTTGATACAAACGAGTGCAATGAGTCGTGCATTATGACGTTACGACCCAAAATCTATGTACATAGTTTTAAAAGAGTTAGCTTTGTAATTTAGTAAATGATAACGGCGTAACTTGTTGTCTATTTTACTTCCTTCTTACTGTATTTTTATTTTGTTTCTAGATTTGAACTTTACTGAATATTTCATATTACATTAGATCGGAAAACTAACTTTTATTATCATTATAACAAATTTAAAGTATAGACATATAACTTAAGGATTCAAAAGATGAAAGGTTTGATTTGAAATTTCCATATTAAATTAAGGGTTTGAATGAAAAATAATAGTATATTAATTTTTAGAGTAATATCATAAAAGAAACGAGAATTTGATGATCATGTATGTCAGGTTGATGGACAATGACATATAAAGACAAATCTTCTCATAAATATTTATTTGATGTATCCTAAAATAATAATTTAACTCTTAACTAGCGGGAAAATGCGAGCTTTGTCCAAGGCTATTTTTTTTTATGTATTTATGTAAAAATGTAAAAGTTTTAACTGTAGGGATAAAAAGTATAAATTTTTTAACTGTAAGGACAAAAAAGTATAAATTGCTTTAAAATGAAAGTTTCGAGTCATTTGTAACGTTTAGTTTGTAAGTTAATTGACGGTTGGTCATAGGCCACGTCACCCATATCATATCCATCAATAAACGGTCTTCCATAGCTACTCATCTTCTTCAAACAGAGCCTCTGTCGAGAAGGACGAAAATGGCGTTTAACCTTTCTTCTCCTTCACCCTCCGCAGTTACACCTCTATCTGCCCATTCAAACCCTCGACATGCTCTGCAATGTAAGTCACTCTCTCTCTTCTTTACCAAATTGAACAACCTAGGGTTTCTGTAAACACTCTTCACCTTTCTTATTCTACTCATCTTCTGTGATTGTTTGCGATTTCCGCTGCCTGTTTGTGAATAACGTTGATATTTACTCCAGCTGAATCAAATTGGAACGTTTTTTAACTCAACTTTGTATTTGATTGAATCAATACAATTTCATCTCATCAGTTTACACATTAAAAAATAGCTAATTTTAAAAGTCGGAATTTCAGTTTCTAGCGTTTACTTACATTTCTACTTTTGATGATTAGTCAATTTGAAGTCGGTGAGCTATCGCGTGAGATGTAGCTTAGAATCAGAGAGCTCTTCAGCAGATGTTCCAGATACCTCACCAGAACCTATCACGACAAAGGTCTGTACTCTGTAGACTGTATCTATTCATTTTTTTTTTCTTTAGATATTTCCGATTCCAGCTATGATTGATTGATTGATTGATTTCTAAATCTAAATCAAAATCATCATCTTCACAGACTCAAAACCATTTGACATCACGAAGAAGATGCCTAGCATGTTTAACATCATCAATAGCTTTAATAAGCAATTCAAGTAGTCCCCAGGAAAAGGCAATCGCATCTGATATGAAACCAGGGTGTCGGAACTGTGGGGGTAGTGGTGCTATTATATGTAAGTTTTGCTTTTTCTTCACAACAATCAACACTCAATTTTGAAGATGGAAGATTAACCTGATATGATTGAAAGATTATTGTTCTTGATTTTGGGTTTTTAATTGGTAAATGAGATGTTAATTTTGTATCTAGGTGAAATGTGTGGTGGAACAGGAAAATGGAAAGCTTTGAACAGAAAACGAGCTAAAGATACATACGAGTTTACTGAATGCCCTAATTGCTATGGTATAATTCTTTTTCATTCATACTGATTGTATTTAATGCATTGAAATTACAAGTGTTTGAGAATTTATGTTCTTGATTTTGGAAACAGGAAGAGGGAAACTTGTATGTCCTGTTTGTTTGGGTACTGGTTTACCTAACAACAAAGGTCTTCTTAGGAGGCCTGATGCTAAACAATTGCTTGAAAAGATGTATAATGGGCGCCTACTTCCAAACTCATAAGGTCATTTTCCAAATTTCTATAAAAGTCAACTTTGTATTTGATTTTGACCCTAAAAAGTCAAAATGTAGTATCCCAATCTTAATGTTAAATGTTTTTTCTTTTTAGGTGTCATTTGGGTTTTGGGGTGATTCTTGAATATGGTAAATAGAGGAGCAAAAACTGTTTCGTATATAGAAGCGGCTTGAGGGCGAAATCGTAATTGTCTTCAAGTTCAAGCTGCTGTTGAGAGGTTGAATACAGGTTTCAGCTTTGTTCATCTATAAAATAAGATGAAATGACTATTTTATTATGTATTATGATTATGATATGATGAAAGGAAGATAGATTAGCAATCTGCTGAAACCTTCTATAGAATTTAAAATGTAGCTTATTGGATACAAAATTTTGCACTAACAAGAATGGAAGTTTATGGTTATTACATGGATTTTTCCATTTTGGGCAATAATCTTTAATAGAATGGAAATGTACTTCCACTTTGTTAAATTTTATTCCTTAGACAATGTGTGTGTTTTTTCATAAAAAAATTTGTACTATAACCCATTATTATTTATAAAAAGTTTAATGACCCCAAAACCCAAATGACACCTAAATACTTGTATACATTTTTTTATTATAAAAACGTATTTGTATACAAATGCATCTATTATAAATAGATGTTTGTTTATTTCTTTTTTATAAAATACATGTTTGTATACATTTATTTTTATAAGAAAACGGATTTATATTTATGTACTTAATAAATACATACTTTATAAATAGGTATTTCGCATAAAATATGTTTTTAAAAAGAAGTTTTTATATAGACAAAAGAAGGTTTTTATGTGAAAATATGTTTTTTTATATAAATGAGATTTTGAGAAAAAAAAAAAGATGTAAACAAACATATTCGAAACAAATTTTTGAAGAAAAAAAAGATGTAAAAAAACTAAATTTAGAATGAATTTGTATCAAATTTTGAAATCTAGGCAAAAAGTGTAAATTTTAAACCAAATTTGTAATAAAATTTAAAATGTAAATCAAAAATATAATTTTTAAAAGTTAGATGGTCTGTTAACCTGATAAAATGAATATATTTTTCGGTTTTTATGACTTAATTTACTAAAAAAAGATAAGAACAAAATAAAAGTATTTTATGAATAAAACATTCAACAACTTACTTTTGATTGCATTTTTTTAAAACCATGGTGTATTAAAAAAGAAAACAAATAGTTCCTTCCTTAACCGAAAATTCAAATGAACAACTCATTCCATTTACCTAAACCATTTCATCCCTTTATAAATCCAGTAATCTTTGCATTGTGCATTGAACTTGTTGAGAACATAAATCTCATTACAAATAAATCTTCACTTATAATAAATAATTCTAAAGATAAATCACAATTCAACACTTGTTACATTAGTTTCCAAATCCCCAACTTTCCTCTTCTTCTCATTCTCATTCTCATTTTGCTTTTGCCTTTGCTTATTCAAAGATTTATCGGCTTTTGAGACGATTTTTGAAACAGTAAACCCCGTGACTTCAAAGGTATGAGATCGATGAGGAATCAAAGCATTACGAAGGGTGACATCAACACCATCATATGTCCAAACACCAACAACCGCCTCTCCTTTCAATCCAATCGCAAACCAACCAAGACCACCACATGCAATATCAACGCAACTCGAGTCCCACCAATTCCCACGCACGCGAAATTCCTTTCTTACCCATCTTCCAAGCTCCTCCACTCTTCGCTTCCCAATTGGCGGCTGAGGGTATAATCGGAAATTACAACATCTTATTCCCATATTACACGATTACCATTGCAAATTACGATGACAAAATGACATGTAGAAAAATCTTGAATTATTATTGTACCTGTAATTGACGACCAAAATGATCTTCCACCATTGTTGATGCTTTCTCTGTTTTTCCCATGTGAAGAGGAAGATGAGGAGATGCCCAAACAGTTACATATATAGAATCAACCGATGATTCTTCAATATCAAGCCTCATAAGTCCCCCAATATGCACAGAATGCCCAACCTAATTCATAACAAATTACACCACAAAGATCACAAAAACACATAATAAAGGGTATAGTTGGAAGATCACCTTGATCCTATAAGTCCTTGGTTTCAACTCTTTGCTGATGTGGACTAACTTCTGTTCCTCTGTAGTCAACCGCGTGGTAATCTGGTGTGGATGCAGTAATCCTGGTGTATCAAACAACTTTGTTCCACCAGGAAGGACACCCTCCACCCGAACTATCCCTAATGTAGTCCCGGGTATTGGAGCCTCGGTCAAAATGGTCATTTTACCACCTATGGATTTCCCCATTGCGTTAATAAGTGTTGATTTTCCAGCATTTTGTGCACCAATGACCCAAATATGCCCTCGTGGTCCAGCTAATGACACCATATCATCTGCGAGATTCTTTAATCCCCAGTTTTTTACAGCGCTTACAAGATGAACTTTGGTTAATTTGGCAGCTCCTCCTTCTCTTGCCCTAGTTCTAACCCAGTGTTCGAATCCAGTTGGGGATAAGGATGAAGGGAGAAGATCGATTTTTGTAACGACTAACACAATTCTAGGTAAATTACCTGATTTCCCTTCTTTCCAAGATCTAGAATGAACGTCGATTGTGTTGGAAACTAACTCTGCGACTTTTCTGGGGAATGATCCGTCGAAATCGACGGCGTCTACCACCATTACGACGACAGTTCGTGTACCTGAAACCGAATTCAACCTCCTTCCGACTGTATGATCGAAGTCGAAATCGGGGAGCAGGTTTTCGACGGTTTGATCTTTCACTTTCCCGTAGTTCCTCAAGCTGTGGCACCTCGCGCAAACGACTGGTCTCTCGGGAGATTTGGGGGTAGGGTTTTCGAGGATTTCATCGGGTTCAATTAAGATGCCCTTTTTGAGAGAATCTGGAATGTGGGTTTCGTCAGCTAAGGGGTTTCTGTCGATTTGTTGTTTGTAAGTTGGATCTTTGACTGAGGGTGTGATGAAGAACCCGGGTTGTTTAGCGTCGGAGTCTTGCATTTGGATTCCACATCCAGGGCAAATTCTGCGGGTTTGGGAGGTGGTTTCATCGTAATTTCCGTCTCTGGAGAGGGTCGGAGGTGGAACCGAAGTGTGATTTGAAGAGAAGGGTCTGAAGTGGGGGTTTGGGGTTGCTAAGGTTTTAGTAGGGTTTAAGAGATCTGAAATTTTTGGGGGGTTTATGATGGAGGTGAAATTGGAGTTGGATACAGATTTTGTGTATGCATAGGTAGTGAAGGGAGAGAGAGCAAGGAGATTCTTGAGCTTTGATGGAGTTAATTTTCGGGAAATCATTTCTGTGTTCGAAGCTCTGCGTCCATGGAGGTTTTAGTAGTTAGGGTATGGCAGGCTAGTGACTAGTGAGTGATGAACTAATGATAGAGTATACTTCCACTAACATCCCTTAAGATTGGGAATAGTCCAATAATGGCCCCTCAAGTTTTTTTGAATAATAATATAATGAACAAATTACACGAATGGTCCTTTAGGTTTTTTGTTTTTCCCTGAAATAGTCCTTACGAAACTTTTTTCCCAGAAATGGTCCCTAAGGAGCAAACATTGCTCGTAAAAGGCCCCTATGACTAACTTTGTTAAAAAATTCTGTTATATTGTGTTAAATGACAAAATTACCCTTTGTTTTATGCACATACATGGTCCTTCTCTCTCTCTTCTCTTCTCGTCTCTTTCTGGTTCACCATCCTAATTTCAACACCACGCCCAAATCTTGAAATCACTAGCTTAAACAAACTCAGCTCAAACTTAGAGAAGCTCTTATCCGATTTTGATTCCAATTAGAGAAGCTCTTATTTGATTCTTAAAAATCGATAGTTAGCAGCTCAAACAAAACCCATAAATTGATTTATAGGTTTGTGTTAATCGTGTTCAACCATGAACCCATAAACGAAATCAATTTGTGGGCTTCATCTTCTTCGCCCCTATCCTCTTTCGGCAAAACGATTCCATTGTCGGATAGACTTCCACCTTTACCCAAAAACTGTGGATAACAGAGGATAGTTGAGGTGCATACTAGATGAAATCTCATCATTCAAGCTTATTTGAAAACAACATGTAACAAAGACTCGTTGTATCTTTTCAAAGAAATTGCTCTTTACCAGTTCTAAATGATTACACCTTTACGTTTTCCATTACCGCTTGTTCACACCATCAGCCACTGTTGGGTTTTGCTCAAAACTTTCATATGATGGTAATTAAACTTGGGTATCAGATGTTTGTGGGGGCAACACTTTAGTAAATATGTGTATTGTGTATTCAAGAACTGATTCTGCCCAGAAAGTGTTCGATAAAATGTCGTAACGAGATACAATTGCTTGGACAAGTTTGGTCAATGGGTATGCAACTGTTTGCGAGAATTCCTGAAAAAAACTTCAAGAAGGGATCTTGATTTTCATCAACGTGTAGCGATTTATGGGGGGGGGGGGGGGGGGGGGCTTGATAGACCCATTTAGTTGCATTGGTAAAGTTGAAGATGCATTCAAAGCTCTTAAGAAAATGGGTATGGAACCTGAAAAACTAACCTAAACTAAGCTAATACGTTAAAAGAACAAGTTACAAGAACATATGGTGGAAGGATTATTTTTCTTTGGATTGCAGGCTAAATTTATAAACAAATTATTGAATTGAAGATGTGAAGATCCAATTTTTTATATGGGTTATTTCCGATGCAGTGAGAGAGAGAGAGAGAGAGAGAGAGAGAGAGAGAGAGAGAGAGAGAGAGAATTTATGTGCATAAAACAAAGGGTAGTTTTGTCATTTAACAAAACTTAACGGAACCTTTTAACAAAGTTAATCATAGGGGCCTTTTATGAGCAATGTTTGCTCATTAGGGACCATCTCAGGGAAAAAAATTTGTAAGGACCATTTCAGAGAAAAACGGAAAACCTAAAGGACCATTCGTGTAATTTGTTCTAATATAATTTACAACTAGACATATTGTGTTTACACAATAACATCCAAAAATAAAAGTGATTCAAATGTAATAATCAACCAATATAATTATATGAAAACTGAATTAAATAAACTAAAATTCAAAAATTTTAATAGCATAACCTTCTTAATATTGCATAAAATGAATTTTGACTATCTTATTATTGAATCGGTTTATTTTGTTATGTAACTTAAGTTATCAAGTAATACGTTTGTCACTTATCTAGATGTATTTTTTTAAAATTTATCCATTTTACTTTTAATAAATCTAAACTAACATTTTTTTGGTTCTAAAGAAAAAATAAAATTTAATTCCACACATTATTAATAAAAAAGTTAAATGCATAAAAGTGTGATTATATATATATATATATATATATATATATATATATATATATATATATATATATATATATATATATATATATATATGGAAGTCGGTTCTAGTGAAATTGAAAAGTAGATGTGAAAAAGAAAAAAACCTATAGTAATAAAGCACGTAGTAGTTTTTTTTCCCGGTGAGGAAACTCTTTATTTATTATTTTTTATATATTATTTTAGTTTAAAGGTTAAAATTGTAATTGTTCGATGGAGGTTCTCTAATATTTTCACAACCGGCGGCGTATGTTGGGGAGTTAGTTGACGCGACTTTGTTGATCTCATATATCCACCGCCTCCTCCTGGATGTTTCCTCCATATACACGTGTATATCACCGCCTGTGTTTTATCGACTTCTTCTTTTCCTCTGGTTATGCAGTTCTCCCACCGTCTCAACCACCAACCGATTGTGTATGTTTTGATTGACTGGGAATAAATCAACTATAAAGCTCTTAAAGGTCTTCGATTCATTCACAATTCTCCCTTTACCCTTTTACTCATACCAAAGAAGGTCACATAATCCTTAACGTTTGTATATATTCCTTTCTATTTATTTTTAATTTTGATTCCTTTGAATTTGTTTTCCACTTCTCAGTTGCAGGCCAACTATTTGATGGAATGCCTCACTGAGACATACATAAAAACATCTGATTTTAAGGTCATTTAATTAAGCTTCTCTGAATTCACAAGTCCACAGTTCCATCAAACAATTTGGTTATATCGATGTGCTTAATCTTTTTGAGGTAAACTACACATGTATTTGTCTCAATTTTTTGGACGTTTCTCATGAATTTTGTGGGACAGATCACAATTTAAGGTAATTTATTCGGGAGGTATTATTAAATGAGTCTTGATTGAATCAGCTTCTCTTTGATTCCAAACCAAATGGATGTTACCACACAGCCGTCAACCCTGCTGGAATTGCTTTCTAGATCCAATCTCCTAGTCTTTCGATCGCTATTCGAATGTATGGACAAGTAGAAATGTTACAACTTCTTAACCTCTTTATTCTTTATGTAAGTGGTATGAAGATATAAAAGATTGCTCTGGGAATAATTGATAGCATCATGTTATTTTCAAGTTCACTTACAATACCACTACTATTCTTTTCTTCAGGTCATTCCATTCGACAACAAAGGACAGCTCAAAGAAGCTTTTCAACATCAGGTTTGAAGAACTTCAAGTTTTGGATATCAAATTTTTCTATGATTGTGCAAAGCTTACCATTGTTGTTCTTTATCAGGTTAGCTTCTTTAAGAGGTTTTTGTAACTCTCAATCAGAGATGGGTCCCTTCAAATGAACAGGTAAAAATTTGAATATTCTGATTGAGTGTATTTTCCAATCAAAGAAACTTCACTTTTAAAAATAAAAAACAATTACTAACCTGTTAGTTTCTATTTCAATTTTTTGGGCAGGGATGACTATCAACCTGAGGAAAATTTATGCTAAATCATTTTCTATTAAAATGATAAAGATACCACTTTTTGTTTTTTTCTTTTGTCCTCAATTTAATAAAAATTACCTGAAGTTAAAGTTGGATCCTCTTCTTTGTACATGTAATTTCAATATTGTAAAAGTTAATTTTGGCTACTCTATTTTTGTATTTGAGGTAAGAAATACAAATGTATTACCCTTGATTTGGATGCTATAATATAAAAAGCAGGTTGTTGTTTTTGCATTTTCCCTTTTCATGAAAAAATAACAAATGCAATTAATAACAACAATCTTTTAGTCAATTTTCTATTTTACCAACATACTTTTGTTTCTTCTTATTATAGGTGCACTTTCTATGTTGATTTTAGGGAAAATTGGCAGAATTAACACCTTGATTTTATTTATTATTATTATTATTATTATTATTATTATTATTTTGTATTATAGCGTTTTGCTTTCACTTATGATAGTTATATCTATCATAAGTAGATGGAAAGAAGTACCATTTTGTTTTATTAATTAGAGTTCTTTTTAATGAATGATGAATTATAATCAATCTCAAGCTACCTTGGAGGTTTGGCATCATATATCAAGACTGCTAGAGAAATTTGGCATTCATTTGTCTGTTATCAGCCCCTTAAGGGAGATCGAGGAACATGAGCAAGAAGTAGCACAAACTTTACTAGATAATGTTGGAAAATGTATCAAAAAGAAAGAAAAGAAGCCCATCATTGAAAGGGTAAGTTTGAAAATCTCTATCCTCCATTCCTATTTTTTTTTCATATGGACCATTGCCTTTTCTGTTGACATGAGAAGGTGAGAAAGCAGTCCTTGATGGAGCTAGAAAGGCAGGAGCAAGTTAGAGAGATGCAAGAAATGGAAAAGACGATGTAAAAACTAACACGATGGATCACTTTGAAAGGGAAAAAAGGGAAGAAGTTGCACCTCTCATTGATGATGCTTTCCAAATATGTTTAGCTAAAGAGAAACCTTGTCATGAACGTCATCAACTATCATAGTAAATTAAGCTGAAAATGTTTTTAAATGTTCTATTTCATTAGAGTAAACAATAAAAATAACACCAAATGTAGAAAATACATTTTGGCCCATGCAAAGGATGGGTCTCTTCACTAGTTTAATATTAAGTATGAAATTTGCCTTTATCATTTCCCTTTGTTGTTTGAAAGTGAAGGTCCATTTGAAGAATGATTCAAAGTTTCAGTTGCTTCATTTTCCAAATCAGAGGGAATTAGTATTATAAAATATTACGAATTAATCTATTTAAAATGTAAAAATTTAATTTTAACATCAGAAATATATTAATTATAATCATTGAAAACTTGCCTTTATTTCCATCCTTTAATGTTGATTGTATAGTTGCAATGACTAAATTTTTGAAAGATTCGTTTTCTTCATGATTTAAATATGAAGAACAATTCTTTTAATATCCTGTTGTAGACATCTCTTCAATTCAAAATTCTAATTGAATGAAGCAGTTAAACGCAGGAAGATGATTCAATTGTTCATTAGTTGAAAGAAGTTAATGTTAATTTAAAATTGCAGTTAATGTTTACGGTTATTAATTTAAACAACCGGTTATAATTCATTTTTTTTTGTAATTTACTTAGTTACCCTTCATTAATAAATTAAATAAATCAAAATGAATAAATAATGATTATTGATGTGGCATGTTCTTATTGGTTCTCGCATTTTCGCATATTCTTTGCATTTTCGCATTAGCCTTCCCCTATATATATATATATATATATATATATATATATATATATATATATATATATATGTGTGTGTGTGTGTGTGTGTGTGTGTGTGTATATATATATATATATATATATATATATATATATATATATATATATATATATATATATAGAGAGAGAGAGAGAGAGAGAGAGTCAGGTTCATTTGAGACCATTCTAATGTTGTGAGACCGTAAAACCAAATCTAAAAATAATTTTAAAATGCAAAATAAATGGAAAAATCCAAAAATTCTTTTTTTAAATATATTTTCGAAACTTGAATTAACTAAATAAATAAATAAATAAATAAATAAAATCCCGTTTTTTTTTTAAATACGTGAAATATGCTAAATAGAATATTAACTGACATATTCTAAAAAATAATTTTAAAATGCAAAATAAATGGAAAAATCTAAAAAAAAAAATTTAAATATTATTTTCGGAACTTGAGTTAACTAAAAAAAATTAAAAAAAAATCCTATTTTTTTTTAAAATACGTGAAATATTCTAAATATAATATTACACTGTACATATTCAAAAATTATTTTAAAATGCAAAATAAATGGAAAAATCAAAAAATATCTCTGTTTAAATATTATTTTCGGAACTTGAATTAACTAAATAAAATTAAAAATAAATAAAAAAAAAACGTCTCACGGTCTCACAAAATTAGATCGTCTCACATGAACCTAACCCTATATATATATATATATATATATATATATATATATATATATATATATATATATATATATATATATATATAATTTCTTTCATAAAAAGTCACAATATTTTTTACCTATCAAATCTATCTAATTTAATATAAAAGTCTATTATCAGTTTTATTTAAGTCAAGTGACAATTGTGTATTAAGTCATATGTGATCTAGGCCATCTTTGACATCTTATAATATATCAAGAGATAAAACTTGATAAAAATAAGATGTTGTTTTAACTTTTGATACATTATAAAAAATTATATCAAGAGATAAAACTTGATAAAAATAAGATGTTGTTTTAACTTTTGATACATTATAAAAAATCAAAAGATGGCATGGATCACACTTGTTATAAGCAACATCACATTTAATTGTCATTTTAAATGAAACCAATTAATAGGGTTGTACCAAAATTTGGATAAAATTGATAGATAAATATTAATGTTTTTTTTTCTCTAAACAAAAATATAATATGTATGCGCTTTGTAATATATAACGGACCGTGTTTTATTTTTCTTGTATTTTTCCCTTAATAAAAATGATCGACCATTTATTAAGAGTTTAAAATGTTGTTTAACGTAATAGAGAAAAAAAATACATTACAATTAATTTACTAGTAATGTTACTAAAGTGAAAAAGTAATTTCAAATTATTTTTATTTTTATATATTTTCATGTATGTATCACTTTTAGATAAAATAGAGTCATGTGAAAACTCTACTTGGTGCTTGTTATTTAAGTTTTTAATTATTAGGTTAAATATTTACAAATTATTGTATTTAAGCTAACTAATGGGTTTACAGAAAAATGATCATGTGAGTTGACAGAAAAATGATCAAAAAGAAAGCTAACATTCTCTTACTTTAAGATCATCCACAAAGCAAAAATGTTTCAAGTAACAAAACTAACCCTTCAAACCCCAATCTAAACCTTTACATAGATATTGCATATAATTATAAACCCTAAAAACCACCCTTCTTTCTTTCTATTTCACAAAAACAAAAAAAAAAACAAGGTTGTGTAAGGCGGTGCGAGTGGCGGCAAGTGGCGGTGGTGGTTCAACTTCAAGACTGTTCTCTCCAAATCCGGCCGGCCACTTTCAACTTGAGCTCCTGCCTATCACCACCGGAGAAAAACAAGCCTATATTTCTTGTTATGATCAACCCATCTAGACTATCTCTAACCGTTTTATGACTATCACGGATACTCCGTGGGACCCCTTGCCATTTTAGCTTTCTTCCATTCCCACCAACCTCCAAACTGTAACTGAATTTACTCGCGTCATTTTCATCCCCCATAAAACGCAAAAACGCCATGTAAACGGGGGCCATGCCCAAATGAAACGCCTCAAAGTGCAAACAAAATTGATACCCGAAGCAGTTGAAAATCTACATCCAACAAAAAAAATCAAGAAACTAGATTTCAATAAGTCTGATTCCATCATACCAAACACTACCTCCCACAGACACATACACAGAAAGATCATACCGTTAACATCCATGTGGCGTTTTCAATTTCATGAGGATTGGGCTTCACGTAGCGGTGATTGAATGTGGACCCATCATGCATGTCAACATTATGATCCGTCTTGAGATGTGCAACAAGGAATGGAATATCACCCGTGACATAACATTCCGTTCCCGCATATGGACAATTATACCCCCGATATTTACAATTCTCCTCATGTCTTATCCTACTATGATAAGGAAAAATCTCATGGCATCCCAAATAATGGTATTTGCATGGCAACTCTATCGACTCTGCAACTTTTTCCAATGCTAAACACCGTATATTCCCAAGCTCTTGTCGGCATATCGGACAACTATTTTGCACTTTTGATTTACATACAACGCATATCGTGTGGCCATTTGGACACTTCATAAAGTAATAACAAATACATCAGTAACCAATAACCAGTAAACCAGTTACTAACCGAGTAACTGTTGTTGGTAAACCGTTGTTCCTATTAAAACAACGGTTACCAGTAACCGATTTTAAACTAATCAGGAACCAGTTACTATTAACCAGTAACCGATTACTGTTTAAGTTCTAAACTAATAAGTAACCGGTTACTACTAACCAGTAACAGTTTACTAGTTAGCAACCAGTAACCGGTTATTAACTCAGTAACCGCTTACTATTAACCAGTAACCAGTTACTACTAACCAGTAATAGTTTACTGAGTAAGAAGAACATACTTGATGAATTGGAGGGTGCATTATGCCAAGGCAGACAGGGCACTCGAGTAGATCATGGACAGCACTGTTTGAAGCCAATCCATGCCTTCCACCAGCAGATCCACATAATCTCAAGCAACTTCTTCTTTCTATATTTGCAGATTTAACACCAAAATCAGCACGCGATTCACTAACATCTTGAAAAATATTACCACCAGGGCCCATAATTAATGGTGTTTATAGTTTCTGTTTGTGATATTCCTCCTGACAAGAACAACCAAACAAAAGTTATCGTCTCGTAGTCTTAATTCCACTCTTTTTACATAAGGAAAAATGCCCAAATTGTTATCGACTACATATATCTAGGTTTAGTTATTAGATACAAATCTAAGCATAATTGACACAGAAACGATGTATCCACTTCATGAGAAAGTGATCAGTAACTATGGGAGCTAAGATGTCTACAAAACTGCAAATTCAGAAGATCGCGACCATGAAAGATGAGTGATTTTTCATCGAACCTTGAGAAAACCACTTCTTTTCCTCAAATTCGTAGAATTAAAACATACCCAGAAACAAAAACACTTGCAATTGATAAAGGAAGTGGGAGAAAAAAAAATAGGTAAGAAAGAACTGACCTAGAACTGTAAACCCCAGATGAGAAATTCAGCTCGCAGAAGATACAATCAATCAACCCATCAATAATTAGGGGAATTTTTCCTGTTGTGAAATTGATGTAATGAGCCACGATGAAGGTGTGATGTGGAAGCTAAATTGTGAAAGCAGGAGACTAGATTGACGTGTTGAAACCGGTGTTTGGTTATAAAGAATACTATAATCGGATGAATTGAAGATGTCCAGAAAGTCAAAGATTTCCCGAAATCAATCGCGCTTCTATTCTAATTTCTACCAATGGAACAGTGGAGCTTTTAGGATCGAAATTAAAATTGGGGTTGTTCAATCATAGATGGATGGGTGTACAGCTAAGGATTTGGGGAACTTGTTTCATGTCTCGAAGTTTAATGGTTGTTTTGTGTTGTCATTTTCTTGCGTACAGAGTGTGCAAATGTTGGCTTCTAACAAATTATTGTTTGAATTTATAAACATTATTATATATTTATATTTATATGTGTGTGTATGTATTGTATTTATCATAGTACTATCGGATGGTGTACAAAAACGACATTTTATCAAATTTTTGTATAAAATGTGTTGGAATTATTAAAAAATGTAACAAAGACAGTTGAATTTTGTATCCATTCACATAAAATACAACACCCTTACAACTACATATAAATCATCATTGTTAGATTTTATAAAATATCATTATTTTAATTGAACAAACTTATAAAGCATCTTATACATTTGATTGGACCAATTCACATGACCCATACAAAAAATATATATTTTTTAATATAATTTAACGAACTTTAAATTTACTTATAAGGAGTTAATAATAACATCTAATAAAAAATGAAACTTAACATATACTTTATGAAACACCGAACCTCAATAATTAACCACTAGCTCGACAAATTATTATTACTAAATTTTCAATTAATTTTTACATCATGTTGATCCATGTTTGTATATAAAAAGTACACCAAAATCATTTACAAAGTAATGACCATGTTACTCATGATTTTTTTTCTTCCAAATCTCTATTTGCTTTTTCCATCGACGTTATTAAACTTTAATATACTTATATTGTTGCATATATATTGGAAAATATTGTTAAATAATAAGTAAGTTTCAAATTACTCTAAGTTTGTCATATTTTTTAAGAGATAATCACAGAAGTTTTAATTTGCTTCCTTGTAATGAGGTCTTTTTTTATACTAGTTAAACTTAGACTATGTGGAGAATATATATATATATATATATATATATATATATATATATATATATATATATATATATATATATATATATATATATATATATAACCAAATTGTGATTTAGTTTTAATTTGAGTAAATTACACGAATGGTCCCTATGGTTTAGGGTAATTTGCGCGTTTGGTCCCTAATTTATTTTTTTAACTCGAAAGGTCCCTATTGTTTGTTTTTGTTACGCGGTTGGTCCCTATCTTACCTAAAAAGACTATTATGCCCTTGATTTTTTTAATTTATCTAAATAAACACACCCCTAATCCCACCCCCTCACCTTACCTCACCTACCCCATCATTTTTACCTCTTTAAATAATAGTCTTTTTAGATAAGATCGGGACCAAACGCGTAACAAAAATAAATAGTATGGATCAAACGTGTAACAAAAACAAACCATAAGGACCTTCCGAGTTAAAAAAACAAGTTAGGGACCAAACACGCAAATTACCTCAAACCATAGGAACCATTCGTGTAATTTACTCTTTTAATTTTAAAACATTGAAAGCCATTGATGTGGTCATTGAAAGTGAGAAACTTTTTCCAATTAAAAAAAAAGGCATAATCAAACATCAATCCACCATGTAATGATATTTAAATAGGCGTGTTCAACATTGAGTTTTTGATGGTTTTAGAAGCTTTTAGTTTTAAGAAAAAAAGAACTTGGAAATTTTTTTTGGTTCCACAATAGAAGCTTTTAACTTTTATTAAACAAAAAAGTTTGAATCCAATAATAGTTTTTGCAAGCTTTTAACCTTTTGAAGCTTTTAATTTTTGGTTTTATATAATTTTATAGTTTAAAAGTTAACAATTATTTTTACCGAACTATTATACACAAGTAAAAGTTATAATTTTCAACTTCTAGCTATCAACTACTATCTACCATTTAGTTTTGCCAAATATATCCATAATCAAGTGATATAAAATCTGTTTAATGTGATTAATGTTAATACAAATATGTCTAGCTATCAACTACTATCTACCTATGATGATATTGTTTTAATTACTTTGCGTAATTCCATTTATATTTTAGTTGTTAGTTTTGTTTTGTATGAGACGTGGATGGAGAATTTAGTTGAATAATTTTAATATCTTCTCGAATAACTTCACTTCCATTTTTAATAATTACTTTACACTTGGGCTATAAGCAAGATTATTAGAATCATTTATTTGATACTCTCTAGTTTGTTTGTTTTGTTTTTTGTATTATAACAAGTACATTAACTAATCTTTAAGAAAATTAAAAATAATATGATTATATATAACGTGGATGGAAGTCACAAAAATACAAATGAATATCACAACAAATAGATATGTATGTAGTTAATCTCCTTTTGCCATAGTTAATCTCCTTTTGCCATATGTCACATCTTTTTTTATTTTTCTACATTAAGAAACAAACCAAGGTAGAATCTCTACTTTGGATATTTTCAAGTTTATGATTGAACAAGAATTATTGTTATTTCTCAACAAATACGATACCATTTCAAGATAAATTTGATCATTTTAAGGTTTTCTTTTAGGAAACAATTCAGAAAGCAATTTAACAGTTCATAAAATTCAAAAAGATAATCTATTTGTTAGATGAACCGACCATTTTTGTGATTAATTCCTTATAAAAATGCATCTCATTTTAAAGGTAAAGCATTCCCTATTTAATGGGCTGTATCATAGACATAATTTCAACCATCTTGACATTTTTCCTTTATTTACGATGATAAAACAAACAAACAAAACTTCCAAAAATGGGTGGAAATAGTTGGTAACCATTATTATATACGACCCATGACATAACTTGTACCATATCTGTAACAAAATTTAAAGTTTGCACCAAAAAATACAAATATGAAATACCAAAAAAAAAAAAAAAAAAAAAAAACATAGATTGTTAACCTTTTTACAACATTCTTTAGTTTTGTTGACAACACGAAGACAATCGAAACAATACATTTCCCAATAATAAGAATGTGCACGTGTTCAGCACCTGTTGGAATTAGTCAATTAGTCTTTCCTGGTCCTTAGTATTTCGTTAGTTAGCTCCGTACATGTGGGGCTCCTTTACTTTTCTCTTCTTGTATAAATACAGTGTATCTCCATATTCTTATACACAAGAAAGCAATACAAATACACAACAGTTTCTACTTTACATGGTATCCAGAGCTTTTTAATTTTTTTTTATTCTTCTCTTGTTGTTGTCTTGTCTATGGCCAATTCTAGCTCATCTCTTCTAGCTCATGCCACCGCCTCCTCTCTAAATCTTCAAATTCCCAATATCACTATCAAACTAGATAGGGATAACTACCTACTGTGGCGCTCTACAATCATATCTGCTCTCGAGACTTTTGATCTCGAATCCTTCATCCTAAATCCCACTCCTCCACCTGAAACTGTTCTTCCCACCATCACTGATGCCACCACAGAAACTGAACCTCACCCTAACACCATACCAACTACTTTACAACAAAACTCCAGATTACACCTTTCTCAAATCATTCGGTTGCTTGTGTTATCCGTTTCTTCGCCCCTATAACAATCATAAACTTGACTTCCGTTCTCTCCCTTGTATCTTTATCGGTTACAGCACAACACACAAAGGCTATCTATGCTTTCATCAACCGTCTTCCCGCATTTACGTATCCCGCCATGTGGTTTTCAATGAAGAAATATTCCCATATTTGCCACCCTCTTCCAATATCAGCTCAGCTAACTCTACCTCATCCTCTGATGTTTCTGCTACTTTACTTTCTCAAGCAGCTACACTTTCATCTTTCCCACCACCATCTACTCCTCCTCAATCTCTTCCTCCTTCATCATCTCCTTCCTCTTCTTCCACCTCACCTACATCTCAAACTCCACTACCCTCCACTACTACCACCCCACTGTATCAACAGTCAACCATCAGCTCTCGAGCCAAACAAAATCAGCCATCTACCTCCCATTATCATGTTGCCCCTCAAAATACTCATACAATGGTCACTCGCGCTCACACTAACTCTCTAAAACCAAAGGTTTTCCACACCTCTGTCTCTACTCCATCTGACTTTGAACCACACACTTTTCAACAAGCTACTAAACACCCCTGTTGGCAGCAAGCCATGCAAAATGAATATGATGCTCTCATCCGAAATAACACATGGTCTATTGTTTCTTGTCCTACTAATGTGAGTTGTTGGCTGCAAGTGGATATACAGGTTTAAAAGACGTGCTGATGGGAAAATTGAGCGCTATAAAGCTCGATTGGTGGCTCAAGGCTTCAGTCAAGAGGCAAATATCGACTATTTTGACACATTCAACCCCGTCATCAAGCCAACTACAATAAGGCTGGTCCTGTCCATTGCACTCTCTCGTGGTTGGTGTATTCGACAGCTTGACATCAACAACACATTCCTAAATGGTGACCTTAAAGAAGTGGTGTATATGAGACAACCTCGTGGTTTTGAAGACCCTTCTCGCCCAACACACGTGTGTCGTCTCCACAAAGCCCTCTACGGCCTCAAACAGGCTCCTAGAGCCTGGTTTAACAAACTCAAACATTACCTGGTTGATCAAGGATTCCGAGCTTGTCTATCTGACACTTCACTCTTTGTTCACATTCACTCACATTATATCATTTACCTTCTTGTATACGTTGATGATGTTATACTCACAGGAAATAATGAAGCTCAGGTTCAAAGATTCATTCATGAACTCAATAAAGTCTTTGCTTTAAAAGACCTTGGACCGCTACATCACTTTTTGGGTCTACAAATCACCACCACCTCTACTGGACTTGCTCTATCTCAACAGTCCTATATTGATGATATACTTCACAAAAGTAAGATGCAAGATTCCACACCCATCTCCACACCTGCTGATCCTAATTCTCGCCTTACACATGATGGTGAACCATTTCATGATCCCACATTCTTCCGCCAAATAGTAGGATCTCTTCAATATGTCACCATTACACGTCCCGATATAGCTTACGCAGTGAACCGCGTATGTCAATTTATGCATTCTCCAACCATACATCATTGGCAGGCTACCAAACGCATCCTCAGGTACTTAAAGGGAACCTCTCATCATGGTCTACAATTCAAGCCCACTACTGCAAATTGTCTTCTCGCTTACTCTGATGCTGGGTGGATCTCCAATCAAGAGGATAGTCGTTCTCAGTATGGTTATGCCATTTTTCATGGCCCAAATCTGATCAGTTGGACTTCTAGGAAGCAACAGGTAGTGGCACGTTCAAGTACTGAAGCAGAATATCGTTCATTAGCCTACACCACTGCGGAGCTTTTATGGTTACAACAGTTGATTCAGGAATTACATGCGCCTATAACAAAACAACCACTACTTCTTTGTGACAATGTTGGAGCCATTTTCATGAGCAAAAATCCTGTCATTAGCACTCGTTCCAAGCACATTGCTTTAGATTTCCACTTTATCCGCGAGCAAGTCGAGACCGGTGCACTCAAGATCTGTTACATTTCTTCTGTTGACCAACTAGCGGATATCTTCACCAAACCTTTATCCAAGGAACGAATTACATCTCTTCACAGCAAGCTACAAGTACAACCCGTTCTTGAGCTTGCCGGGGGCTAATAAGAATGTGCACGTGTTCAACACCTGTTGGAATTAGTCAATTAGTCTTTCCTGGTCCTTAGTATTTCGTTAGTTAGCTCCGTACATGTGGGGCTCCTTTACTTTTCTCTTCTTGTATAAATACAGTGTATCTCCATATTCCATATTCTTATACACAAGAAAGCAATACAAATACACAACAGTTTCTACTTTACACCCAAAAACAATCTTAAACCTTAAATAAAATATACAAAAAAAAAAAAAAAAAAAAAAAAAAAAAAAAATCCATAGTTGATAATTAGCTTTGCATATATCCCACTTACTAAAGTATTCACTACAGACATACACATACACAACATACACATACACAGGACATCATTTACCCATTCAACACTTAATCCACACAGCACTTGATAATAGAGAACAAACAAAAAAAAAGACCTTAAGCTGACATGGTTTTTTTAAGTCTTTCAAAAACTACACATTTCATTCATACCAACTAATCGCCGGTGTAACCGGGCAGAATTCCGGGTTGCCCGCTTTGTCCCGGGCAGCTGAGATGGAGCCAACCCATTGTCATCATAATCAACCTTCACAGCCACCTGTCTCCGGGAGGATTGACTATTTGACTCTCTCTCTCCCTCTTCAACATGTCTCGAGCTTCTTTGCCTCTTTCGCATGTGGGGCCCACGAGGAGGAGGAGGCTGCTGGACATCTCTCTCCTCTTCTTCAACAACTTCTGCTTTTGCCATTACTACATATGGCCATTGGGTCCCACATCCAGGGCAAACCTTTTCCATCTGAATTAATAATATTAATTAATAACTTAATATACCAAACTAATTATATAAATAAATAAATAATTATAAATACCCTTTGTTGAGAGAATTTTGCTTGTAGACAGTATTTGTGAATTCTAACACTACAGCTTTCATTCGGACACAAATCAGCCTGACGATTAAAAAAAATTATATTATGAGAAATATATATATAATGATTCTATAGGAAAGGGAATAAGGGATTATGGAATGGAATCACATTCCGATGTGGAAAACAAACTACATAACAGATGAATAAACAAACCTTAATTCCAGATTCATTGCAGACATCACAAGGAGGAACTTGATTGTTATGAAACCAACTCCTGAGATCCAAAAATGATCGAACACCAAGTCCAATATCACCATCTGACGTGGCACATAACCATTGGTCATTCACCAATTCCCGTATAGTTTTTTCCTTTTGTGTCATAGAAAAATTCTTGAAAGCTGTAGGGACTTGAGATGAAGAAGCACCCTGATTTTCTAGCTGAATATTGAGGGCTTTGATGTTGGAAATGGTACCCTGAGCTGTGTGATCAAGAACAATGGCTTCAATCTGTTTTAAACCAATCATTATATTCAAAAATCAGTATGAATCCACGAGATTAGTGAAACTAATCTAGTTTTGCATTGTATTAGATCGTTATAGATTACAGATTGCCCAATGTGTACATGTCATTTCACCTCATGATTCATACACAATTCCCAAAGATGCAATGAAGTATACATGAGATTCAAGAATGGAAATTGGTGAATTTAGAAGTGAAAGGAAGCTTACAATGGCTTTATAGAAAGCAATTTGAGGAACAGTGTATTTTGAACCAAGCTTTGACTGCTCATCTGCAACAGTGTTGACCACTCCATAAAATACACCACTGTCATATTGGTTTCTGCATGCTCGTAGCTCAAACTGGACATAAGATAGCTCCATGTTTATCTTTCGAAGATAATCATTGAACAATTGTTGATGGGAATCTGAAAGAAGAATGAATAGGTGATTTATATATAGCAGATGAGTTATTATTCTGTTCCATACACACATCTGAAATTTGCAAATGGGATGATTATAACTCCTGTTATCAACAGAAGAGACAGCAGTTTGATTTTTGGTATGAACTTTGCTGAAAATTCTTAGTCTGTCCATACTAAATGTTTGAAGTAGTTGAGAATCTGTTCTAGAGAGTTAAAAGGCCAAAACAATTTTGAACTTGAACACGAAACATTTCGCGATCAAATGAGAAAGTGTCCTGTTCGTTTCTGTTAAAGAGAATTTCAATCGTCGATAACGTCTACAGGAAGGTAATACTTTCTTATAAATTTACTTTGTAGGTAGTAGGAAAGTGTTAATTCTGTTTATTTCATACCGATAAAGTGAGCAAACAGATCAAAAAATGACCTCCTACACACAAGTAAACATACGCGTAAACCTAAGATGGAGATCCATCAAAAATTTAAGTAGAAAAAGAGATCGCGTATAGGGGAAACAGTGTAAGAACCTAAGCTTTTGCCGGTGACATCGGAAAATATGGCGTGAAAGTCCTTTTCCTTGAGTGGACCACGGGATAGCAGAGCTTGAATCAGCGTATGGTGTCTCCAGCTTAACGGCGGCATTTCTCCGCAGTAGGAGAACAATTCCTGGAACCCTAATTTGAACAAGAAGAGCACCACGGTGAGGAAAACCCTAGATTTCTTCGTGAACAATCAGACGAATTTGGGGGAAGTGAAGATTTGGAAATATTGGCGGGAAAATAGGCAATTTACAATGGAGAACTATCTCGCATTTCTGTAGTTTTTGGGGAACACAAACATTATTTCTATGTAGACAAGGTTGAAGTTAGGGATGAAAAAAAAAAAAAAAAAAAAAACTCATATTCCATAGGAATTTTAAATTCGTACACGTTTTGATCGGGAAATTCTCAAGGAGACCCGGGATGACGACGAGAACAAGGAATTTCCGAATAAAAATGTGAAGATGGTGATATCCCTAATCCGTAATCCGGGACTCGCCCTCGATATATATAAATATATAAAAATAATACAAAACACATATTTATAATGCATAAAGAAAAAACATCATAAATGATCCATGTGGTTATTCAAAATCTGAAGTTTAGTCCACGTGGTTTAAAAACCTCATAGATGATCATTGTGTTTTCAAAACTTTTGATGTTTGATATTTTTGCTAACTCCGTTAGCTTTCTACCGTTAAATGAATAATATTTCGGTCATTTAACTATCCAGAGACTTTTTATGAGGTTTTTTTTTTTTTTTTTTTTTAAGAAAAAAATAATTAAATTTAATATCCAATGGATCTCTCTCTCTCTCTCTCTCTCTCTCTCTCTCTCTCTCTCTCTCTCTCTCTCTCTCTCTCTCTCTTAATAAGATAAACAATCATAAAATGGCAGATCATTTCTATCCAAATGAAATGTGGGTTCATCAAAGAAGAATACCCACCTCCACCTGAAACCACCACAAATCCCCTAACAAAGACTCTATCTCTTCCTTACGGTCTATTTTCCGATCAACTTAAACAAGCAACCTTTGACCTCAAACAAATTGTATTTTTTACTTCTTTATTCCCTTAATTTATGTTTTCTCCCTTTCTTCCTTGTGTTAATTTTTGATTTACACATGTTCCTAATTATAGATTGTATCGGAGACTTGGGAAACACAGGGAAACGTTTAGACGATTACACACTGTACACAAGTGCCCTAGGTACTACTTTGATGGTTTTCAAAGTTTACAAAGTTACACACAGAGAATAACATGAAACCAAGAACCATAAAGAACATGAAAGACCTACCCTTTTTCATCTCTTTACCTGAATCAAACTTTGTTTCCCTTCTATCCTCTCTTCATTCACACAAACACAACCGATTTCAAATTGATTCAAAATTAAGGTTCCGATTCATACTTCCCCTCTGCCACCACCGGAGAAAGCACAATTCGTAAACGAGGTCACAATCATTTTGATATAATTTAAGGTTCCGATTCAAACTTCCCTTCTTAGATGCATGCGTCTCATACGTGTCCCAACAAGAAGAAGAAACCGCTACCCTTTTCTACGACTTGTTCTTAATCGAATCAAGCAATAAAAATCACAACTCCCTTCAATCTCTTTTCTCCTAAATCGATCGATCTCTCATCTATTTCTATATTTCCCAAATCACACAAGGATTGGTCCTCCTTATCTAATCGATCGCAATCCTTCCCTCTTCTCTCGAATTTGATGTTGCAGATCTATCATTTCAGGGTCAGATTTGGTGTTGTAGATGTAGACGATGGACCTTGATTCAATATTTGTGTGTAAGAATGGTCACCAGTGGTAGTGAGTATGAAGGTGGTTGTCGTTGGTGGTAGATATGGCGTTCGTCGGAGGTGGTGTGTAAGAAACCAATCACAAAATGTAGGCTATGATGGTTGATTTAAGGCTTTCCAATTTCCACATTAATCTTGGAGAGAGAGAGAGAGAGAGAGAGAGAGAGAGAGAGAGAGAGAGAGAGAGAGAGAGAGAGAGAGAGTGAGAGAGAAAGAAAGAAAGAGAGAGAGAGTGAGTGAGTGAGTGAGTGAGAGTGAGTGAGTGAGTGAGAGAGAGTGAGAGAGAGACCTTTTATATATTTAATTAGGTTTAATTTTTTATTTTTTAAAAAAATACGAGAAAACATCATAAATGGTCCCTGTGGTGGTGAAATGATGAAAATACCCTTCAGTTAATGGACAAACTTAACGGAGTTAGCAAAAAGGACCAAACATCAAAAGTTTTGAAAACACGGGGACCATTTATGAAGTTTTTAAACCATGGGGATCAAACTTCAAATTTTGGGTAACCATAAGGACCATCTATGATGCTTTTTCATACATAAAATTTGATCCGAATAATGTAACTCACTAGTAATTACTTGGTTGAATTATATGTATTTTTTTCTTTTATCTAATTTAAACTTGTGTATATTTTTTCTCCTTCGTTTATCTCTTTTACCTCAAATATCAATATGTGTTATAAAATATGATCAAATAACAATATAAATTATAAAGTAAAGAAAGAAATAAGTGTTATAAAATATGATCAAATAACAATATAAATTATAAAGTAAAGAAAGAAATAAGAGTAGAGAGAACTTTTATTCCAATACTTGTGATGAAATCATCAAGTGCCTAATACATATGACTCACTATTTATACTATCCAGATAAGATGAAAGATGAGCTATAATATGAATCCACATTATGATGGTGTATTATTACATTCATAAAACACATTGAAATGGTTATTAGTAATGCTAAATAATGATGTGGAGTTATGGGAGAAATGGAGAATCCAATGGTCATTCACAAACTAATATTTCATAACACTCCCCCTTGAATGACGATTGTATCATGCCTCGTTAAAAACTTAATAGGTAAAACCTCATGGGAAAACCATTTATTAAGGAAAAAGAGTACATGATTAATAATAGATATTTGGAACAATTGCCTCATTAAAAACCTTGCTAAGAAAACCCAGTGGGAAAAACATAGCTAAGGAAAAGAGTACAATATGTTTCCAACTCCCCCTGATCATCACATCACTTGATTTCCTTAAAGCGTCGCATTCCAATATTTCGTACCATGTTTTCAAATTTGGATGTAGGGAGCGCTTTAGTGAACAAATCTGCCAAGTTGTTACTTGATTGAATTTTCTGGATGTTGATGCCACGCTCTTTTTGAAGATCATGAGTAAAAAAAAAAACTTTGGTGATATATGTTTGGTTATGTTTCCTTTGATAACCCCTTCCTTGAATTGGGCTATACAAGCCGCATTATCTTCATATAGTATGGTTGGAGCGTCCATGTTAGAAGTTAGACCACAACTCTCACGAATGTGATGAGTTAAATTTCTTAACCAAATACATTCACGGCTTGCCTCATGAATTGCTATAATCTCTGCATGGTTAGAAGAAGAAGCAACTAAAGTTTGTTTAACAGAACACCAAGAGATTGTGGTACCTCCACAAGTGAATAAATAACCTGTTTGGGATCAAGCTTTGTGTGGATCAGACAAATATCCAGCATCTGCATAACTAATTAACTCCGCATTTGATGAATTTGAATAATATAAGCCCATATCCATTGTACCTCGAAGATATCGAAGAATGTGTTTGACTCCATTCCAATGTCTTCTTGTTGGGCAAGAACTATATCTTGCTAATAAGTTTACAGCAAAAGATATATCAGGTCTCGTATTATTAGCAAGATACATTAGTGCACCAATAACACTAAGATATGGTACTTCGGGACCAAGAAGTTTTTCATGTTTTCACAAGGCCGAAACTGGTCCTTTTTGGCATCTAAATGCCTTACTACCATCGGGATACTCAATGGATGTGAGTTATCCATATAAAACTTTTTAAGCACCTTTTCTAGATAACTAGATTGATGTACAAAAACTCCATTTTTGGTGTGCTCAATTTGAAGACCTAAACAAAATTTCGTTTTACCAAGATCTTTCATTTCAGAATTTTCTTTCAAACAAGAAGTGGCATTTTCCAATTCTCCAGGAGTTCCAATTATGTTCAAATCATCTACGTAAACAGCAATTACCACAAATTCTGATTCGGATCTTTTTATTAATACACATGGGCTTAATGGATCATTTTTATAGCCCTCTTTTAAAAGAAATGTACTTAAACAATTGAACCACATCCGGCCAGATTGTTTCAATCCATACAAAGATTTATTTAATTTTACCGAATATACTTCACGAGAATTAGGAGTTTGTGCTTCTGGCACCTTAAACCCTTCTGGGATTTTCATATAAATATCATTCTCAAGTGAACCATATAAATAGGCGGTAACTACATCCATCAGACGCATCTTCAATTTTTCATGTGTTGCCAGACTTATTAGATAACGGAATGTAATTGCATCAACCACAGGAGAGTATGTTTCTTCATAATCAATTTCGGGCATTTGGGTAAAACCTTGTGCAACAAGTCTTGCTTTATATCTCACAACTTCATTCTTCTCGTTTCTTTTGCACACAAATACCCATTTGTGTCCCACTGGTCTTACTCCGTTTGGTGTACGGACTACAGGTCCAAAAACTTTTCGTTGAGTAAGAGAATTAAGCTCTTTGTTTATTGCATCTTTCCATTTTGGCCAATCTTTTCTATTTCTACATTCATCTATAGATTTAGGTTCAACATCCTCATTTTCTTCCATAATCTCGCACGCAACATGATATGATAAATTATCGTCGACATCTATCTTATTTCGGTTCCATCTTATTCCTATCATGACATAATTTATTGAGATCTCTTCATTTTCATAATTTTCAGGTACCTCAGTTTCTTTTGTTATGTCATCGGGCTCTTCTGGAGCTTCATTAATCTTTTCAAAAGATCTGTTTTCTCTTTTGGACCATCAATTATATTTGCTCCCTTTCGTTTTCGAGGATTTTTATCTTTGGAACCGGTTGGTCTTCCACGCTTCAGGCGTGCCTTTGATTCATTTGTAGTTGTATTTTTTCTTTCTGGGATATCAATTCTAACTGGAGCATTTACAGCTGGTAAATGAGACTTTGTTACTCTCTTAGGGTCAGTAAATGCATCTGGCAATTGATTTGCTATATTTTGTAAATGAATTAGCTTTTTCACTTCAAGTTCACATTGACTTGAACGAGGATCTAACACTGAAAGTGATAATTCATTCCAAGAGATTTTATTCTCCAGCTTCTTTGTTTCTCCCCCTAATGTTGGAAAAACTGATTCATCAAAATGACAATCGTCAAATCTAGCTGTAAATAAATCTCCAGTTGATGGTTCTAAATATTTTACTATAGATGGAGATTCGTATCCAACATAAATTCTCATTCT